ATTCGGATCTTTTTTTTTTTTTTTTTTTTAAATATGGCTATCCAAATTCCCTCAAGCATAACAATAAAAAGTATATAATTATTCAAATGCAATCACTAGAAAGATGAAATATACATGACATGACTCAGATCTTGCTAGTCTACAGCCCAAGACTCTACTTTGCCAAACTTTGCCAATCTACAAGTATTATCACTTACAGATGCGCCATGTATTTTTTAAAAAACCAAACCCCGAAGTTACAGTTTAATATTTTTGACATAATCGTTAAAGCAGTATTATTAATCCATTTGACTTAGAATGTAAGGGATGACCTTGAAGTTTATAGAAAAAGCGTCAAACCCTTTTATTGAAAAACTGGAAAACTTATGCTGATAGCAGGAATTATATTTGTGCAATTGAAATGTGCATAAATATTACACTAGATCAGTGATTTCAACCTATTTTTGGATGAAGTTCTGTCTTTTTATTTAACTCTTCTTTTCATAACTTTTGGACTGTATTATTTCTTTCACAAGTCAGCAAGTACCTTGTAAATACTGGTGAAACGTCTGAGAACTCGAGGCACGGTTTGGTGTGTACGTGATTGTGTGTGCTACCGATGGGAGTAAGGATGTGCGTGATCTCTTTAGTTAAGTGTATGACTTGTTTGCTTTAAAAATATCACGTTATTTAAAAAAAAATGAAGCAAGCAGTTAATATCATGATAGATATCATTTTAGTCGTTCCATGATGGAATTCATTGTGTGTATGAATTGTGTTTGCTAACATCTTTATAATATTATCATACATGTATATGGATTTCAAGAAGAAATCTGACTTAATAGTGTGTGTGTTTTTTAAAATAAATATCGTATCATCTTATTTTAATAATAAATCAATAATAAAATTGTTAATTACATAGCGCCGGTATCCGTCAGGCTCTCTCATGGTGCTTTACACATATTACCCTGGTCGTAGCCGAGCTGCCAATTAAGTAACTAGCGCTCAAGCATATATTTTACCATCGCTGTCCCCTCTCCTTTCTCTCTCTCGTACTTCTTTCTCTCATTTTCAAGTTCTCGGGGAGGGTGTGGGTGTGTATTGGTATTGGCACGTCCGTATGCTCCTATAGTAACTGTATTTTTGGCTATTTTTCACATACGTATAAACACCTGTATCTACATCCGCAGTGAGTTAGTTTCATTTTCAGTTTAATATTAACATAAATTTTGACTGGATATTCATACTCATGGTTGAATATACCTATAATCTTGTTAAAAAGTCTATAGGTGTTGTATATTAAATGTGTTTATGGTTTTAGTTTGTACGATGATGATTATGGTTCAAGGGTAAATGAGTGCAATTTGAAGACCCGATCAACAAATTACGTCACCCCGCAAACATTTTGTTATCAAGGCAAAACAGAAAGGTCAAACGGCTATGCACAGAAATGTCAGTATACCTTTGTTACAAGACAGTGTAGATCGCTAAGCGAGAAATATGAGCTCAATTGTTCAGACAGAGAGTGGAAAGGGGAGAGAGACTGGGAGGGGGACGCAGAGAGAGAGAGAGAGAGACAGAGAGACAGAGAGAAAAGAGAGAAAGCGAGAGATAAAAAATGAGTGATGTTCCTGAATTAAGCGAAATTGGCAAATTAATATTACATCAGAAAGTATAAAGTGAAGAAACCTTGAATGAATTAAATATAGTGATGATAAAGATGTAATGTTGACATCGACAAAGATAAATATTAACAAGGTGATGGTCCTGAATTCAGCGAAATTGGCAAATTAATATTACATCAGAGAGTATAAAGTGAAGAAACCTTGAATTAATTAAATATAGTTATGATAAAGATGTAATGTTGAAATCGACAAGTAAAAAGGCTATTTCACATTGATTGAAACATTCTCAAGTTCTGTTATTAATTGATATTGCACATAGAAGAGGAGATACAAAAGTAGCAATCAGTAGATGAATATGCATGTGGGAATATAATCAAATACATTGTTTTGTTTACTCGATCTTTGTTAGTTTTAGTTCAAAGATTCAAGGTGAATTAAGCAGTCTAACAATAGTGGGTATCGTTGAGGAATAACATAGCTACATAGTTACGTATACATAAGAGGGGGAGGGTAAGAGGGAGCTAAATGAAAGAGAGAGAGAGAGAGAGAGAGAGAGAGATAGAGAGAAAGAGAGAGAGAGACAGAGACAGAGACAGAGAGAAAAGAGAGAAAGAGAGAGATAAAAATTGTGAGTTGGTCTAGCGGGTCATACATTCTATATTGTATATGGCTAACATAGCTACATAGTTACGTATACATAAGAGGGGGAGGGTAAGAGGGAGCTAAATGGAAAAGAGAGAGAGAGGGAGAGAGTGAGTGACAGAGAGACAGAGAGAAAAGAGAGAAAGAGAGAGAGAGAGATAAAAAATTGTGAGTTGGTCTAGCGGGTCATACATTCTATATTTTATTATGGCTAACATAGCTACATAGTTACGTATACATAAGAGGGGGAGCGTAAGAGGGAGCTAAATGGAAAAGAGAAAGAAAGAGAGAGAGAGAGAGAGAGAGAGAGAGTGTGTGTGTGTGTGTGTGTGTGTGTGTGCGTGCGTGCGTGTGGGTGTGTGTGTGTGAAAGATTACCAGACGAAAGAGAAGGTAATGTTATCTTAATCTGTTCAAAGGTCACCTTATATTTTAACGTCAATATTAATTATCACATTTATCAACATAGCACAATAGATTAATCAAGTTCGTCATCCTATTACAAACAAGGCACAAGCGAAGTATTATTTGTATGTGTATTGATTCACTGATAGGAATGTGTTTCAAAGCATCAAAGAGCAGGACACGCATAGTTTCACCCTGTGACGCCGATTAAGATATATATGCTTTGAAGAATATGTATTTGCACATACACATGTCTTTTGTTGATGGCAAATACATCTTAATTGTCTTGTTCGAGAAAAAACCCGGACTTTACACTCTTCAATAGCACGGATGACTAAGCGCTTTCTTCTATAGACGTTGAAAAATAGCTATAAACTAAAATCCAACCCCAAAAATGTGCAAAATTCACTAATGCACTCGCAAAAATTTTGTATAGCGTGGAATGGTCGTCGATTATCTATTTCTGCACGACGATTGTGCAATGATCTGCAATGACTTGTATATCGCTGTTAATGTTTCTCAAAGGTTTCTCTTGAAATACTATCATTAACCTCTGTTTCTTGTGCTAACTTGTATTTGAACTTTAGCCCTGAGACTGTTTTTCCCTTTCAGCTGATATCGCTTTCCGTTAAACAATAACCATTCCAATGAAACATGATATTTCTAGCTAATTGCAGCGTACTCTTTTAAAAGCATAACTTTGTGATTTAATGACTTCTCCGTGCCGTGTTTTAATTTCCTTATATGCGCAATTCAATCAAAATAATGATGCGTATGTGCAGCTGCACATTGATGGTTGTGTACAGTAAGGCCATCACTAATGAAAGATTCTGTCCAATCCTTCCATCTATCTAACTTTCTATATGTCTGACTGTCTGTTTATAATATGTCTATATATATCTATATATTGATCTATCTATCTAATCTATCTATCCACCCACAATTATATCCGCCCATCCATCCATCTATATATCCATCTATCCGTCTATATCTAATTCTCTATAAATATATTTATTTTCCACATATGGGAAGGATCACACTTTTCAGCTAAAAGCTGGTTTTCAAAGGGGTCCACCCACAAGATAAAAATACAAATTGTTGATAAAATACATTTGAAATATGATTACATTGGCAAACAAACAAACGAAATCATTATATATACATACAGAAAACAAAAATGTACTGGATAGGGGTTAAAAAAAAAGAAGAAAAAAAGAAACAAGGAATAGAGAGGCGAAAGAGAAAACCAAATATAAAATTGTTGCGTATAAAACAAATCAAAACAAAATAAAACAAATCGATTCATCTATCTCTATCTATCCATCGGGACAAGTCCAAGGTATGTCCTATACTTTACCAAGTATCATTGAATTACGCTGCATATTATGGAATTGTGAAAATAATTTGACATACAAACAAATTTAACTTGATATATTTTTTTTATTCAAGCTCTGATAGAGATACAAGGGCCCTGACTTACAAATCGTTGATATCAATCGCAGCTATATATGACTATCAACATAAGAGATAGGAGACTGCAAACTTGCGATTGATTAGAGGACTTGCGATTAATTTGGATCAATTGCAACTCTTTGTAAGACAGGGCCCAGCTTGATACCATCAGTATACTCAAATGTTCGATGCGGTCAAAATACTTTGGACTCATTTCTCTTTACTATACGGCCATTAACACGTATTTAATGAGCGCAAGGTCTCGTGTGTAATCAATGATAAACTTTCCTGAATTTCCTCAGAGATTTCTGAATATTCACTTGCCTACATGAATTTTTAAATAATAAGGATGATTTATTGACAAAGCAACTTCTCAGAATTTCATTTTTTCTCCTTTAATTGCGATTGGCCTAAAATTTAATGCACAGTAGAATTTCATACATGGAGGCCTAGTTCAAATTAAATACACATAAAGAAATGATCCATTCATAATCATTACAACAATAATGCTAATAATAATTATAAAAATGATGATAATAATACAAATGATAATTATTATGATATCAATGATAATATCAAAAATAATAATAAACCTATTGAACATTTTAGAAGTAATAAAATAACTAATTATCATTGGATTTTTAGAGCACCTAATCGATGGGCATATTCTGTAAAATAACATGACAACAACAAGAAACAGACACTTGTACTTTAGCTTCACTTAATAGGCATTTTGGAAAGAAACCTCTGGTTCGAAGTAAGAGGCAGTCTGTATTATCGGTTTGGATTATATAGTGCTAGACCTAGACGCAGGTCAATGAACAGCAAACTACGATGTCAGCATGATATATTGAGCATCTATTGATAATGATCAATCGATAAAACAATATTACTGTACCTGATTTGTGTCACCTCCCTATAGCCTTGACAGATCAAATGTATTCCTCCACAACAATGAAAGCTCCTTGCTACAGAAATTAATTATATCCAGAGCGCATGAAACACCGATCGGCACTGAGACTTCCCCCAGCTGTGGTAGTAAATATGATATTGTTTCGATATCAAATATATTGGATACCGGATGGGAAACTGTAGACTCCGGGTGCACATTGAGCTCGTTGTCGAATGGGACTACATGCGTTTCCCATATAACTCTACCGGCGCGCGTTTGTCGTTTCCATACACATATCCACGGTTGAGGGAGTAATATCAATATTGTGGTGTAGCACTTCCTCTTTCTATCAGGTTATTGTATTGAAGCACAAATAGCACAACAGAACTAAAATTATTTCAATAGCAGTTCCTCCCTTCATTCCTCCCTCTCCCCATTGTACGCGAGCCGCAATACTTTCGAGGATATATATTTGTTTACGCCACGAGCTTTCATCATGACTTCATCAGCTACGCATCTTTTGATACCAAATTTATAAAATTTCGACCAACAGGTAGCGTTAGCGTCAAAAATGGCAACGCTATGGGCTGTCAAAATGAACATTTCCCCATCTACGCCTTTAGTCAATTAGCCATAATTAATTATTAAAAAACAAAAGATGTAGGTATGAAACTTCACAAGTTTTCCTTTTTATAAAATACTTTTTAGAAGTTTTCTTCACTCCATGGCCCAGATCCGGGGTGGGGGGGGGGGGGGGTGGGGTGGAATCTGCCCCCTCGATCAGCTGAGAGCAAGAGCACCAAATTAACCCGGCCTATTAAAGAGCAAGTCCACTCCAAAGATAATTTTCTTTTAATAGAAGCAGAAAAATCAGACAAACCAATCAAAAAGGTTTGAGCAAAATCGGATAACTAAGGGCAACTTGTGGCGCTTGCGGTCAGTCGGAGGAGCGCGCGACTGTTGCCCCCCCCCCCCCAATAATAATAATAATAATAATAATGATTTAGAATGAAAAAATCAGCCAAATCAAAGAGTTGCATTCATTGCTGAGCTCAAAATGTCTGAAAGGGAATCTAATAATGTTTGTTTACCATTTTATTACGACTCTAAACCTGAGCTCTAAATGACAATAAGCTTACAATGTGCTACCAATTTTAACATTGCCGATATCTGGAAACACATTTTGTTTTTGTTTGTTTGATTTTTACTTAATTTGGACATTTCCCGTGTTCATTGCACCAAAACATCTACATATAAATTTACCTCCAGTGTAATTTCCCCAAGAATTGTCCTAATTTTGTTCACATCAATATGAAATTATGATTGATATATTTGGAATAAAAGGTGTCAAAAATGCCACATCTGGTCCTTTTAGAAAGCCCTAAATTCCACTAGCTTCAAGGGGCTCTGCCCGGTGCACCTCTGCTAGGGCTTCGCCTATGGACCCCGCCCGTTGTCGGCTCGGTCGCTACGCTCCCTCGCAGCACAGTCAAATGTACAGGTTGGCACTTCAACTATCAATTCTTTTCGTTTTGGCACTTTTAATAAACTAGTTGAGAAGGCCTGGGATTTCAAAATTCATTAACGATACAAATTTTCATTTGTTCTTCATTCCACTGGGCACTCTCAAAACTAATCAATCAAGCATATAATGAGGTCCTAATAAATGATGTTATCGTGAATTTTATATAATTTATGGATGTCAACGTGCCCCTGAAATATGTTAATGACAGAGAAAACAAAAGACTTGATGACATGCATTTATATTTCGTCCAGTGTTCTTTTTTTTTTTTTTTTTAATGTCTTGGGGTTTTCCCCAAAGTCTGTATCACTTTTGAAATATTTTTGTGTCCTTTTCTATACAGCCTGAAGAATTGGTTTAAACAGAGAGTTGGCAAATTGGAGAAGAAAGTGAAGAGACAAAAAAAAAATGGGGTAAACAAAATACATGTATTTAGAACTATGTATTCAATTTTTTAACGCATCATGGGAATGATACGAAGTCCAATATTACACAAACTGTAGGTCTAATATTGAAAACTATGTTTTTTTTCTTTTTCTTTCAATCTCAATGTTTTCGAAAGTGTTCTAGTGATAAAGTGTACAATACTCACCTTTTAAGTGTATTTTAATGCTTTAAATTATTTAATAACTGCATTCACTTTTCATGTTATTTACCTTTACTCACCTTTTAAGTGTATTTTAATGCTTTAAATTATTATTATAACTGCATTCACTTTTCATGTTATTTATATGATAATGTTTTTTATTTTTAATCTGTGCAGTTGACCTCGTGGCAGACTAGCCTTGGGCTTAACAACTTATACAATTAAGTCTACTACAACTACTACTACAGCTACTACTACTGCTACTGCTACTACTACTACTGCTACTGCTGCTGCTGCTGCTACTACTACTACTACCACCACTACTACCACCACTACTACCGGCACTACTACCACTATTACTACTACTACTACTGCTACTACCACTACTACCACCACCACCACCACTACTACTTCTACTATTACTACCACTACTACCACCACCACCACCACCACCACCACCACCACCACCACTACTACTTCTACTATTACTACCGGCACTACTACTTGTGCTCATACTACTACTACTACTTATTCTACTACTACAGCAACTACTACATACTATTACTACTACTGCTACTACTAAGCAATGAAACAATCAATCCATCCATCTAGTTATCCATTCCTCCATCAATACCATACTTTTAAAAAATTGTATTCAATCAGTTCTACCATATATATCCTGCTAATATGTGCAAGAATGACTTTTAAAAATCAATGAAAAAATGTCATCAATCAATCAATCACTTAATCAACCCTTCTGTTTATCTTTTATCCACTCACACTATTTACAATTCTACATGCAGGACGACAGTGCCGTTTTCAAAAACAACATACCAGAACCAAGAAGCAAAATAGTCCTGATGTTTTTATCCTGTATAGATACGTTTCAATAACAAAAGAATAGATCAACTGATGCCATTTGTCATTCACTCAAGCCGTTCAGGGGGGTGTTTCACAAAGATCCTGAGTCGAACTTAACTCTAAGTTGGACTTGAAATTTATGGAGAGCCATTTGTAGCCTTAAAATAAAATATATTCCAAAGCGAAAAAATCAAATATTTTAGAATTTTTATAATTCTACATCAAGAACATGAAATCTCCTTGATAATATGGATATGAATGATTTGAATCAACATTTTATGCCATTCAAAAAAACTTTAACAAAATATTTTCCTAGATGCTAACAGCTTTCCATAATTATTAAGTTCAACTTAGAGATAAGCTCAACTTAGGATCTTTGTGAAACACCCCCCAGGACAGGATTATTTTAAAGGCTAAAGCGATCAAATGACATTGATCCCCTCCTTCTCATTCCCAAAAAATTCTGGACAAAAAACTAATAATCAAATTGTACTTGACTTAAAACATACATCACATACATTCTGAAATAGTACATTTGTAGGCATACACGTTCAAAGTAAGACTAAAATAGAACTATTTTTTAAAAACATATTCACTAGAAATCATGATCCAAAGGATTTAATGTTGATTAAACACTGATCATGCATCAAATACAAATTCCTTAATCAAGGAGCAATTAAATAAATCGTTGGTTTTCATTTCTCATATCATTTGTATTATACATAATTGTAGATTGATATATGCATTTCATTTACAAACCATCAAAACATAGCATCTAACAGCACACCATCGAGGTTTAATCCATATCTAAAATAGGAAGGCCTCATTTACAAGTAAGACAAATTGATTCAACCTTAACTCAAAATACAGATCAGAAGCGAGAATAGAGTCGAAATAGATCATCAAATAAATCACCTGTAAAACAAAATGGCAACTACTAGAAAGGGTGAATAATACTTTAATTTTTTCATTGCAAGAAACTCCTTTCAGAATCTTTAAACATGGAAATAACTTAGATTATCAGTACTACTCTAAACCATATTTAATGAAGAAAAAAAATTACTGAAAGATAAGCCTCTGGAGCTATAAATACATATTATCAATAGAAGCATTTATCATTACACGGTAATGGTATACAAAATCAAGGTCCATGTAATTTATCATTAGTAATAGAAAGGTCTTATCATTAAGAAATATATCATTCAAATTTCACATAGCTCTTATATATAGAAAATTTGACAAATTAGAAATATGGTCCGCTTCATTCTCCACTATACTCATGTTTTAAAAATACATTACAATTCTTTGTTCTTTTGAAATCATTCAAGATAAATTTTCATCAGTTTCTAGTACGTTTCAGAGGTGTTCAATTTTCTCAGCTGTAGACTATTTTGTTGCTTGAATGAACCATCATAATCACTACCATCTTGTACATGCAGTGGTAGACAATACATTTAGACCCATTGGCTACCAAATCATTTCTTTGTCATTGGCTTAATACAGGGAACATACGGTTCCAGTAAGCAATGGGGTAATCACTTTTTGAATGATTTTGCACCTCGTTCAATTAAATAGACAGTAAATGTAGAGGCATCAAGTTTATAATAAGCAACAGTCAACTTTGAAAAAAGGGGGGAAAATCAACATATTAAGCACCTCTTTAAAAGATAAGACAAAGCCTTCATAACTACAAAGGAGACGCGATGGCTCAGTGGTAGAGCATTGGTTTTGTAAGCGTGAGGTCCCGGATTCGAAACCAAGTGGATTTGCTAGTGCCCTTTGGTAAGGCATTAATCCTCATTACCAAGTCCTTTGTAGAGGACTTAAAGCCGTCTGTCCCCTGGTTGCTTACTTTCAAGCTACACATGCTTTCTTAGCAGTCAGGTAAAACAAACCATCAAACCAAACCAGGGGCGTAAATCCCGGGGGGGGGGGGGGGGGGGGGGGGGGGGGGGGATGCATCCCCCCTCGCTTGAAGGAGGGGGGGTGGTCTGTACAAATATCCCCCCTGAGATTACAAAAAAAAAGGGAGAAAAAAAAAGGGGAGAAAAAAAAAAGGGGGAAAAAAAAGGGAGAAAAAAAAGGAAAAAGAAGAAGGGAAAAAATGTGATTGTTTCAATTTCAGCATAATGTATGAGAAATAAGTTATTTTTTTGTGTATGCATAACTGTATAGCCTACGTATACAGTATGTCACGATCATTAAGAGAGACTTTTTGACCGGTTTGACAAGGGCCATACTCTCCTTGGTCTGCAAATGGCCATGAAGCCTATCGCCATCCTAGAGCAACTGAACTCTGCATTGCAGGCCAAGTCAGCAAATGTGTCAGGTGAGCT